AGCACTAATGGAATTATTCCACCGTTGGTAATATTCCAGGGGATTTTCATCCCTGTTTTGGCTTTGTTTGCCTTCATTGTTGGTTTGGTGCTTGTCTTCTTTCCCAGGTTTTCTTGATGTGCAAGCAAGAAGATATAAATGTATACAGAAATATATATATATATCTGAAGGTGTTGGTTGGTGGTGAGAGAGAGGGTTGGGTTCCCTGCCTGGGAGCCAAAGGGGAATCTGAGAGAAACCCCTAATGAAAATGAGAGGAAATGCTTTTAAAAAATTTACGGAGAGAGGATGATACAGATTATAAGACTGAGTCAAACTGAATTCTCTTCCTCTGGTTTTCTACGGGTTTGTAGGAGACAAAAATGAACATGTAACAGCTGTTTTTGTTGATGGGCTGATGGCTCTCGTACTTCTGTTTTTAGAAACCATGTAAAACGTCGTCGTTTTACCAGAGAGAAATTTGTGTTCCAGCTCCCCCCCCCCCACCCCCCCCAGTAATTTTTCTTGCTACCTTAACCCACCTGTCTGTTTCCCTCCTTCCCTCTATTACTTAATTAATTCATGAAAATCAATAATTTAATAACTCAATATACAATGAAATTTAAAATATAAGGAGAAAAAAACTAATCAAAGTTTATAAAATAAAGAACTAATTTTATATGAAATCACAGAACATTCAATTACAAAGTAGAAGGGAAAAGAAACATGTACCGCAGAAATAAAACTGTAATTGATCAAAGTTCTGAAACTGAAGTAATTCAATGGCGGAGACACCCAGTGAAAAATTCTAGCATTACTACAGATATTTATGGTGTCATTTTGCTTCGACCGAAGGACAACGTTTTATAGTGTGTTTGGAGGGCAACAATCCAAGTGCGTGCAAATTAGCTACATGTTGCGGATTTATATTTGTTTTATAATGTAATATAATTTTATGCATGACATATATAAACATTTAAATTATCTATCTAATTTTGAAAGAATAATTAAATAAAATAATTGTCACAAAAAATGCTTGTCATAGTCATTCTGATTATTAAATATTTCAAAAATACAGGTGAATTCACAAATCCATAAATATAATTTGTAAATTTAAAAATAAATCTAATAAATATTTTTAATAAAAAATTTTAAAACTAAACCAATCCCAGTTATAAAAATTTGTTAATTCATATATACTCCCAAAATTCTTAAAATAGTTCATAACAATCTAAATTTCATGCCACAATATAAGATTTTTTTCTCCTTGAATTATCAAGTTTAGGAAATCCTTCCCTATACTCCTTTCTCATCACAACAACGATTTACAATCTTCATATATCAAACATATTTCCGTATGTCGTAGCTATTTGAGTAAGAAAGGTTACATGCAGCATAAACAGCATTTTCCCAAGCAAAAACTTCCCACTCGAATTTCCAATATACTCGTGAATAGAACCTCTACCTGGAAAATAGGTGAGGCTCCACACCCATTTGTTTTCCAGCCTGTCATGAAGCTTCACCTACAAAAAGTTGAACTTTATTTTCTACTTTTCACCATGTTCTTAGTGAAGTTCTGTGCTACTTGTATGACGTGAATCGAATCAAGTAACAGTAATCTCTTCCATGCTGCCAATTTCTTCAGAGAACTGTGGTTTTGCTTCCAAATCAATGAACTGGTTAGACTTGCTAGCTAGATGCGAGATGCTAACCCTCCCTTGACGCTTAATAAAGTCAGCAACGGCTTTCATCTCTTCCTGCGAGATGTATATGTATTTTCCTCTATCATCCATGACACCAGATAATCGTCCTAAAACAAACATCAATTTTGAAAATCCTCAAGCAACAATTCATAAATAAGGTTCTAGAAATCAAACCTAAACATGGCAGAGTTGAATGAAACAAATTGTGCACTCCATTTATTAACTGGAACAACGATTTCTTCCCCTTGTTTTAAACAAGACTTTCAAAATTGAACCACAGAATTTGATGTGATGTTAGACCATCACATACCAGAAATAACTAATAAGATTCCCCACTCCATCAACAGGTGGGCCTAGCATACAACTGGAAGTAGAAAAAAAAAACAGCTAAGAAGCAAGGAAATGGTAAATTAACAAAATCAAACCCAACTTTTCAGGTGCTAGAGTTGAAAATGGAAGAACCAAAAATTTCAGCCAATATTAAAATTATGCAGCATCTCAAGATTAAAGATGATTATTAAAAAAATAATTTGGAATTCTTTGAACACATAGTAGGAGAAGTGCGCAAAAGTTTGATTAAGGAACAATTTTTATTTCAAAAAAAGAAAAAGGAACTCAATGGTACATACCCATACTCTCCAAGGAAATAATCCGATTGATGCATTCCTGCATAAATTATAAGCGGTTTACAAACTAATGAGAAAATTTTCACCAAACAAAGGCATGACCATATAAACTTTCCCTTCTTTTTTACTTGGATAGATGATGCATGCACAAAACAAACTTCACGATTACCACATTTTCAACCAACTTACTGTTTAAAAGTGTAGAAAATATAGGAAAATAAATTTATTTCTTTTCTGTTTTGTCTAGTGGAGAGAATCTCAGAATGGTTATAACCATTTCTGCAATTTCTTCTCCCCATAAATTTATTAGGAAGATTTATTTGGAAATTGTTATTTATGTCGCTTTATTTTCTATAAATTGTAACACCACCAAGAATGAAATTAAGACAAGTAGAAGAGGATTTTCCATTCTTCAAACCTTCATGGTATCAGAGCGACTCTGATTCAGGAGAATCATCTCGATTGAACCGCAATAAAAAATGGCCTTGGGAGAACTACCATTTTCTCCACCCGAAATTTCATCAGGCTCTTACTATCCTTCTCCTACCAGCCATGGCTTGGTTGAACCATCCTCATCACTCCTCACTGGGCATAAGCTGAATGGTAGCAATTACCTTCAGTGGTCATCGTTAATATTACTCTTCATCCGAGGCAAAGGTCACGAAGAGTATCTCACTAGTGAATTCTTACCTCTATCGGTGAATGACCCGAACGCTCAAATATGGAAGATTGACAACAGTATAGTGATGTCGTGGCTCGTAAGCTCGATGACGCCCGACATCGCAGAAAATTTTCTTCTCTATGAGACTGTGCAGGAAATTTGGGAGACAGCTCGGAAACTCTACTCCAGCAAGGAAAATATATCAACTATCTTCGAAATCGAATCCACCCTTCACGAACTGAGACAAGGTGAGCTAAATGTAATTCAGTATTATAATCTTCTATCTCGCAGCTGGCAGCAACTGGACGCCTTTGAAGAAAGGAGATAGAACTGTCCCGAGGACGTCAGAAATTTCAAGTCATTCGTGAAGGAAAAGCGTATTTTCAAATTTCTGCTGGGTTTAAACAGCAACCTTGATGAAGTTCGAGGGCGGGTGCTTAGCATCAAACCATTACCTAGCATCCGCGAAATCTTCTCCGAGATTCGACGAGAAGAAAGCAGAAGAAGAGTGATGATGGGTGATGTGCAACTCACTCAATCTGTTGAAAACGTTTCCGCACTCTCAATGAGAATTTAGGACCCGAAGGGGGAAAAAAGGTCGTTCTTGGTGTGACCACTGCAAAAAGCCTGGCCATGTCCGTGACAAATGCTGAAAACTCCATGGAAAACTAGCCGACCGAAAGTCGCCCAGACCAGAAACCGACCACCATGGCAGTCATGCGTACGCTGGAGAAGGCTCTCTGAGTTCTGTGGAGAGTAGCCCAAGCAGCTGGAAGCACTTCAGAAAATTTTGACCCAGACAAATTATCAGCCTCCCATCAACGCATCAGTGACACACAAAGGTAAAATTCATGGTTTATCTGTGTGTTCAACAAAGCAGGTTTGGGTGGTTGAGTTTAGAGCATCAGATCATATGATTGGAGATGTGTCACTACTCCAAAATCACAGCAAAATCTGAAGAAAATATTTTGATTAAAATTGTTGACGGGTATGTCTCCAAAAAGTGGCTAGATATGGCTCCGTAAGTTTATCTCCAAATTTGACAATTCATTCAGTCTTTTATGTGCCAAAATTAGACTGTAATTTGTTATCAGTGAGCAAGCTTTGTGGAGAGCACAAATGTATTACTAAATTTATCTCTAATTTATGTGAATTTCAGGAGTATACCTTCTTCAAGCAAACAATTCTAGAGGACAAACTCAAAATGCAGTATGTGCAAATTCTGTTTCCATAAGTCATTCAGATAATGACCAAAATATTATGTTATGGCATTATCGATTAGGGCACCCAAATTTCGTTTATCTGAAAAAGTTGTTTCCTTCCCTGTTTAAGAATAAAGATCCTGTTTCATTTCAATATGAAATATGCCAATTTTCAAAACACATTCGCAATTCTTTTCCTAATTTACTATATAAATCTTCTAAACCATTCGCATTAATTCATAGTAATGTATGGGGACCTTCTCGAATTACTAACATTACCCAAACTAGGTGATTTATATCTTTTATTGATGATCATACAAGAATTATGTGGATATTTCTCATGAGAGAAAAATCTGAGGTTGGACCTATTTTCAAAAAATTCAATACTATGATCCAAACACAATTTCATACCAATATTCAAGTTTTAAAAACCAATTATGCATGTGAATATTTCGAAACCTCTCTTGGAAAATATTTCACTGATCATGGCATTATTCACCAAAGCTCGTGTGCCCATACCCCACAACAAAATGGTATAACTGAAAGGAAAAACCGACACATCCTGGAGGTTGCCCACTCAATCATGTTTACCACTCATATCCCAAAATTTCTTTGGGGAGAGACTATACTCACTGCCACTTACTTGATAAATCAAATGCCTTCCCGTATTCTCAATTTCCCGTCACCATACAAATTACTCTCACAAACCTTTCCTGATCCTATATCCTAAATAGTCTACCACTCAAAGTTTTGGGTGTCT